AAACTGCTTGCTGATAATGAAGAGCACTTGAAACACTGACAAAGATCAATATAAAGAAAACAAAAATCCTCACAGCTGGGCCAATAAACAACATTAGGATAAACATACAAGAGACTGGAGTTGTTAAGGATTTCATTTTACTTGAACTAGATTGGGCTGGGATGTTTTCCTAACATACAATTATTCTTTGTTATAAAGTTCTCTCAACGCACAAGTACCTCGGGATTTGTTTCTCAACCCAGACTAATACCTTGGGAGTGGGGTACTAGAGAAACAAATGAAGATGGAGAGTGGTGCTTGTTTGACCTCTGCCTCATGGTCATTTTTCTTCTTTGGCTAGCCAGACATCAGATATGGCCATGCAGTTTACTGGATTGTTTTCTGGAAAGAATATAGGAAGTTAAAGTTTTTATTCCTTTCCATGGTGGTTGTTTTTGGTTATTCCTTTTTGAAAATGAATGTAATTGATGTATATTTTAAGCTCAGGGGTAGAAATCACCTCTTGAATTACTCTGAGACAATGCTGCTTAGTGAAAATGGCTGACTGAGGTCCCACCCTGACTTGAGGCAATGCAGTCAGAGGCTTAAGGTCATATTTTATATCAATGGAATAGTTTACATAAGGATTGAACTTGACTGTTTTAAGAATTGAGTGTAGGATCTGGCTGTACTAAGTTTGTACTGTTTTCTTCTGCCTATTGTTATTGATATGATTGAGAGAAATGATTATTGGGAAGTAAAAAGAGTTTGTAAGCTTACGTGCCTTGAGACATTAAATTGGAATTTAAATGAGTTAGGATGAACCTGCAAAGAAGGCTCTAAAAGGATAAGCCTCACCCAGTGTCTTGAGTGCTCAGGACACTGGAAGGTGGAGAGACTTGCATAAGGGGCTGTTGTTGACAGATTGAAGGAACCTTTGACTTTTTGAATTTTGAACTAGTGGTTTGTGCCTGAGGCTGGAAAGTTTGGGAAATGGAAGGAACTCTCTGATCTAGGACTGAACTACTAAAGAGAGCCCTTGGGCAGGCTGAAATGCTTGCTAGGTGACCACCTGGATCCATTTGTTGAGTTGAAGTGAGAAATACAGCAATAGACACAGGTTGAGTCTGGCCACTGACACCATGGACCTGGTTCACAGGGACTAGAGATGAAAGTGGGTTGACTGGTCTGAAGTTCATGACCTAGCACAAAGGGGTTAGAGTTGTTGAGAATTTGTGATGGGGCACATGGTCAAAAGGTGAGGTGGCCTGAAAAAATGGGCTCCCTGGTGAGGCTAAGTGAGGCAGCCCACATTGAGATGACCAGAACCTGACCAGATGAAGATATTTGAGCCTGTGAATCGGTGCGTATTGCTGCTGACTTTATGGATGGCCTGTTCTGATTTGACTTTGTTTATAGATGCAGACTTACAAGGTTCCAACTGGAATGAAGATTCTTCACATCAAAGAATATGTCTTTCTCCTCAGAGCACTGGGTTGATGTGAGTATAGAAATTGGATACCCAAAATTGGGAGAATAAAGGCATGAAATGGCTGGCTTACAAACTTTCACAGGTGGGGAAATATATTCATAGGCTTATAAGATTATGGTGTAGGTTCACTTAACTGCAATTGTTAGGCATAGAATATTTGTTTTGTTCACTTATAGAATATTATACTTAAATGAGGCTGCATATATTAAATTATATGCAGTTTAGTTTTATCCTATTAGGTACAGATTTGATTTTATTACTGTTTTGTTTAAAAATTTTATGTGGATAGAGTTGTGTGAGCGTGTCAAGTTGACAAGGGGTGGTCTGTGGCAGTTACATAATCTGTCAATTTGTGAAGGGGTGGAGTCTAGCCTATCAATCAGGTCATAGCCAATGAGGGCTCTGTGTGGGTATGGCCTTCTTCTGAGGATTCTGGGAACTCCTGTCTTCCTCCCTGGAGGTGGGATACACTCTCTGCTGCACATTCCTGTTGACAAAACACATGGTGCTATGCTAATGGAGCTACAGGCCTGGAGTTGGAGGAATCATGTGAAGACCCCTGTCAGCGCTGAGATGCTTCCACCATTACTGGGTCAAGACTTTCCACTCACTGGCCTGTGATCTTCCTGCATTCTGCATCAATGCATGTGTTGTATGAGTCTGAAGATGAATTTACAGACTGGTATCAGACATATGGGCTAATATTGGATTTATGGACTTGATCTGGATTGGGCTGGGATGTTTTCTTAATATACAATTACTCTTTGACATAAAGTTCTCTCTTAACACACAGGAGTGTCTATGAATTTGTTTCTCTAGTCAACCCAGACTAACACAAAGATCCAGACTGAAATACATTAATGTGTGATTTAGCTAAAGAAGGTCAGTTATATGATGGCAATGATGGAGGGTATGGTTGTCCCAATTTAGATGAATACAGTTGATCAGTTAGAAAACCAATTGAAAGAAGGTCGAGCTGTTATTATCATGGTTGTGATCTCTTCCCTGAACGCTGGTTTCGTGTAGTTTTTGTGCTTAACAGATAACAGTGTATTGTACAAAAGACTTGAAACAAGGGGTTACAAAGAGAAGAAACTACAAGACAATACTCAATGTGAAAATTTTCTATTTCTTTATGAAGTCATGGCATCCTACAAGGAAGAAATAGCACATCAGTTGTCTAACAATAAACCATAAAATCTAGAGAATAAGGTTCTTAGATGCCGTTGAGTCGGCTCCAAACCATAGCAACCTTATGCACCACAGAACATTAACCAGATTATCAAAATGGGTTGAACAATGGATGAAAGATCACAGCTCTTGAAGACTGGGTACATGACTGTCATTCTTATTGAGCTCTCTTCCCACATCACAGAAATTTATCTAGGTACCAGTAACATTTTCATATTAAAGTTGTATTATGGGATTAGCATGTGGAAGTATCAAAGGTTTATGGTGGCTCTTTTTTTCTCCATGAAAAGTGAAGCAATATGAAATATAACATTATTCAGGATTATTTAGGATTGAGAGTAAATATTGTCATTGTTTACTGCTTCAATTATTAAAGGCTCCACAAATCTGGTAAAGTGGGTGAATATCTGTAAGCTTATTACAAAAGAAGATTAAGGTGATTACTTAAAATAAAACTTATGCCTAAAGAAAAAAAAAGTTTCAGAAGAGACCTTCAGTGAATGGGTGCAAATCATTGCACTCATACTACAAGTGTTGAAATTACTCATACCAATATAAATACAACTAGATTTTTAAAAAATTCTGCCTCCATTCCTTGCTATAGTTAAAAAAAAGGTTAATAATGGCGAAGAAAATGAAACTATTATAGAATCTGTGACTGTCACATCTATAGACGCCCCCAAAATAAGAGAAATAAAGATCCTATTTTGTGAAATAATTTTTCTTCTAATGATGTAAATTATTGGATTAAAAGAGGACTAACTGGTTGTCAACATCAAAGTGGAACTATGGAAAAATTGTGTCAAGATTATGATTGGTAAATAAAGTTCTGTATCCAGATATATTTCTAAGATATAAAGCTAATGATGAAAATTCTAAGGAGTAGCTACTGCATAAGGGTAAGTCAGAAAGTCTTGCTTCAGGGTCATAGAAAACTTTGTTTAATAAAAATATCAAACTGACTTGGGGAGGAGACGAGCCAGTCTGGGTGCAATGTGGCAACAATGAAACGTACAACTTTCCTCTAGTTCCTAAATGCTCCACCCCCCACTATCATGATCCCAATTCTACCTTACAAATCTGGCTAGACCAGACGATGTTAGATGGTAGATAGGAACTGGAAACAGGGAATCCAGGCCGGATGATCCCTTCAGACCAGTGGTGAGAGTGGCGATACTGGGAGGATGGTGGGAGGGTGGGGTGGAAAAGGGGAACCAATTACAAGGATCTACATATAACCTCCTCCCTGGGGGTCGGACAACAGAAAAGTGGGTGAAGGGAGACATGGGACAGTGTAAGCTATGTGCAAGATGTGACAAAATAAGAAAAAATATACATATATGTATATGTGTGTATGTATATATATATATATATCCCCAAAATGTTCTCCCAACTCTAGGATGTCTTTCTTCACTTCAGTAAAGTCCTTTGATGCAAACAAGTTTTCGATTTTGGTATTGGGGGAAAAAGAACCTGAAAAATCAGTTCTACTTAGTTTGGTAAAATCGAACGAACACAACTCAGATTAAAGGCTTTTTTCCCTTTCCAGAACTATCTTATCTACTTTCCTAAACTCATACGGTCTGTAGGGCACTTGGGGCCAATTGCTGCTAATCTCAAGGTTGCCGGTTCAAACCTACCACGGGCTCCAGGAGAGAACGATCAAGTTATTTGCTCCCATAACGATTCACGGCCTCGGTAACCCTACAGAGGGTCGCTCAGAATCGGAATTGTCTCCATGGCAGTGAGTTTATTTTATTATTATTATTTTTTACCGGCAAACTCTCCCAAATCTTTAACCTGCACGCCCCTTCAAAGTAGCGGTAGGTGGGGTACGCGCGGCCTCCCTATCACCTCCCCACCAACGTCCAGGAACTGACAGCAACGGAACCACCCGATTCCCGGGCTGGGCGAGTCACCCCGTTTTCTCTCCCGCCACTCAGTCTTTGGAGGGCTCACCTTTCCTGCACGGACATCGCCAACCCCCTCCTAGTGCCCCAACCGTCACCTGTTCCCGCGCCCCAAAGCCGCGCTTACGAATTCCCAGTCATAACCTAGCGCAGCTTCACGGTTACAGAGAAACAAAATTGCTTCCCGCCTTTCGGTCTTTTTGCCCAATGACCAATGCCCGTGTTCTTAGTCCCCGCCCCCTCTGCCCCCACCCTTGAGAGGCCCCGCCCCCTCAGCGCGACCGAATCACCTGACCCGGAGTCGCTCCCTCTGAAGGAGGCAAAAAGGGGCGTGCGCTGAAGGGGAGGGGCACGAGAAGAATGGGGAGGATGCCGGGAGTGGGGCGGGGCGAAGGGTTGTCAGTCTGATCTCGCGAGAGAGGACGGAAGCCTGTGGGAGCCCGTGGCCTTTGAAGTACGGTTTAGCCCTTTCCTCCAGAGGTAGTTTGTAAACACTGGGCTCCGGGGCGGCCGAAAGGCGCACGAACTAGTAACCTGGAAAGGTGAGTAGTGATGGGGAGCGTGCCGCAGGATTGCAGACTGTGGGGTACGGAGAAAGAAGGCGCTAACATGGCGACGTCGCTCAGCATAGTCCCCACCCCCCGCTTCCCAGCACCGCGGGCGCCCCTGCCTCCATCCCTAGCCTTCCGGGTGACTGTCCGTGCTGCCACCTGAGCAGCCTGCGGGCGTCGGCTTCTGGAGGTTAACCGGCCCGTTAGGTAACTGCTCTTCGTTGTTCCGGCCCCTCCCCGCTCGCGCGCTTTGGTCACGAAGAGGGAGAAGGAATAGCGGCTTCTTTCAGACCCCTCCCTCCGATTTATCTTCTCGTCTTCAGCCAGCTCCGAGGCCCTAGAGCGCAGGTCCGATCTGCCGAGGGCACGGGGAGACCCCCTCTGTCTTTAGCTTGGGCCCAAGAGGGTTGGCTCTCGTCTCCCTACCTAGGACCCGGCGGGTAGAGACTGTCTGCATGTGGTGTTGAGGGCAGGGAATAGATCGGAGTGTACAACACAAAACAGGGCCAGGGTCCCTGGCTGCCGTGAAACCTGATGGAGCCAGTGATGTGCTGAACCTGGGAGTTGGAAGGCCCAGCCTTTTCTGTCCTTTCTGCCACTCTCGTGCTCTCGACACCCCCCTCCCTTTTCCCCTGTGGGGCGGGGCTGAGATATGGATGCGGGTTGATGCTGGCATCTTCCCCCGTTTTTTCACCTCCCTAGGTGGACAGCGGAAAGCTTCAGTGGGGAAATAATTTCTGCTTTTAATCGATGCTCTAGGGACCAGGGCCTAATATTTGTATGTTTGTGTGTGTGTATTTTGTAAGCTCGCTGAAGGGGCTGAAGCTAAGAGAGGGCGGAGGAGCTGGGAATGTTTTTTGCCCCTAGGTAGTATAAATATGCCCATCATAATATACCCCCTGCTGTCTCGTCGATTCTAACTCTAGAGATGGATGCTAGAGGATATGAAGAACTGCCTCGTGGGGTTTCCCAGGGCTCCTCTGTCTGTCATGGTTAGGTTAGGCCAGGAGTAAAAACCACTGTGAATATGATAGTCGAAAGGATTATTCCTGGTTGACCTTAGATCTCTTCATTAATCCCTACATATTGATCTGAATTACAATGTTTTAGTAGTTTAAAATCATGGATATACAAAAGTTAAGATATATATGTTGTAAGGCTTAAGTTTAATGTATGTATTGGAAGTCAGAACAACTCTCCTGAGCACACTTTTTGTCCTCTTTGAAGAAATTTATAACCGTTGACATTGGTATAGCAGTTCTGCATAGAATTTTAAAACAGCCACGTAGCCTCAGTCTACTGTTCCCAAATCATGAAGGTGAGCTTGTAAGAAGTCACGAGTCTTGGTGGCCCAGTGTCGAGAGAGCCAGGTTGCTAATCAAAAGTTGCCAGTGCTGAACCTGGGAGTTGGAACTGACCAGTGGGTCTGTGGGAGAAAGATGTGGCAGTCAGTTTTCTTAAAATTTTACAGTCTTGGAAACCGTTTATGAGGCAGTTCTACCCTGTCTTAGAGGGACTATGAATTAGAATCTACTGGACAGTCATGGGTTTTGATGAGAAGTCAACATCATGTGGGTTTAATTGCTCTAAAATGCAAATACAGTAGCAGCTATATTTTGTGTTTAAATTTATCACTGACTTACGGCAGCCACTTTAAACATTTTTTTGTAAAACTGCAGGAATTTCCTTTAAATTAAAAAAAACCCAGATGCCTTCAGCAGATCAAGAAACAAAATTTTAAAAAATTCATGAATCTTTAAGGCCATCAATAATTTGTAATAAAGAATCCTTGTTTTTGTAATTCAATTGGCAGGAATTTTCCAAATGTTGCCATAGGGTTTTCAAGACCGGAAATAGCCTCATCATGGATTCACACCAAGGACCTTGCAGTTAGCAGCCCACTGGATTCGTTGGCAGTGTGTTTTAGTTTGGGTTTAGTATGTTGCCTAAGGAGCCATGGTAACACAGTGACTTAGTACACAGCAGTTTACCAGTTGGCACACACCATGTATTCCCAAGGAGATGTGGCAGTCAGTAAAGATTTGCTTCCATAAAGACTTACAGCCTTGGAAAACATATGGGGGCAGCTTTATGCCCTATAGGATTGCTGTTAGTCAGAATCGACTCATTGGCAGTTGATTGGCTCTTATGGTTTTGCTATGTTGCCATCCTAAGGAATGCTTAATCTTACTTTGAGAGGATAATGTAGTTATTCTTTAAAAACTATTTAGAATATAGCTGTAATTAGAATTCAGGCGTTTTGTATTTATCAGAAAGGAAGGAGCTTTCAGGAACCTTTACGCAAAGGTTTTAAGGTCTGACAATTTTAATCTTAATTTATTTCCTTTAAATGCCATATTAAAATATTTATTTCATATTTGGGGCACTACCTTGGAACAGGACTTCATGCTTAATAAAGTAGAGGGTCAGCAGAAAAGAAGACCACACGATGAATTGACTCAGTTGCTGCGATAATGGCTCAAAACATAGCATTGTAAGGGTGGTGCAGGACTGAGCAGCATTTCTCATTCTGTTGTACGTAGTAGGGTTACAATGAGTTGAGACGGACTTGTCGGTACCTAACAGCAGAGTGGAGCTC